GATGGTTTTCCTTTTTTGTGCTAGTGCGGTGCAGTCGTTTAGGATGTGGTTAACTGAGTCGTTTGCATGATTGCAAAGTGAACAGCTAGGTTTATCCGTTTTGTTCAACAGATAATTGTGTGTTCTTAAAGTGTGACCTATTCTAAGGCGCACAAATATTTTTATGTATTGGCAGGAACAGACACCAGTGGGATTGTGTTCCTTGTATTGGTGTTGAAAGTTTATCCAGTCTCTAAGTTTGACTCGTAAAGCTCTTTTTTTGCTTGGTTGTGAAAATCTTTTGATGTGATTTTTATTGTTTTTGGCGCGATCGTCTGCAAGTTGGTTGCCTCTAATACATGCGTGTCCAGGGATCCACATGATCTTGATTATGTTTTTGTGTTTGTATAAAACATCTTTTATATTCTTGATCTGTACTGAGTTATTTGTATCATTCAACAGCGCGGTAATTGCCGATTTTCTATCACTGCATATTATGTGTTTTTCTTTAGATGGTGCAGTAAATAGCACCGCTTCGTATATCGCAGCCGCTTCAGCTGTAAGTATAGAGCAGTACGGTGGTAAAACACCGACGGTTATAATGACACCTTGGTCGTTTGTCACTGCAAACGAAGTGTGGGTGTCCGATTTTGATCCATCGGTGTATAATTTTCCACTCTGGTTTAAAAGTGTTTACTGCGTCGTTAAATAGCTGGATATATTGTTCGGCTTTGGTGGTTGATTTTTGATACTTGAATAACGTACTTATTATGGATGATTTTAACGTCAGCCAGTGAGAATGAGTGTTCTCCTTTACTAATTGTGGCGTTGATATTATATCAAGTTTTTTTATAATGTTTATACATTGTACGATCGTGGATGGTTTTTTGATGGTACGATATGTTTTCATCGCATTAAACAAAAGGGAGTTTTTGCACTGGAGGACCTTTGGTATGAGCATCATTGTATTCTGTTTTGTTCGGAGATGGATGCTGGGTAGACATGCTTCAGTTAAGACCACTTTGGTTGGAGAAGTAAGGAATGCGCGAATGCCCCTTTTTACCGCTATGTGATAAGGGGTTTCAATCAGTGCGAGATGGGATTTAGCACAGTGTCCATAGATTGCGAGTCCAAAGTCTATTTTTGACAACATCAATGCTTTTACAATATTTACAAGAGTTGAGATATGGATATGACAGTGTTTTGAAGTGAGAAATTTTATAATGTTTAGTCTATTAAGTAAACTTAATCTAAGATATTTACAATGTTCCTTAAATGTTAGTTTTTTATCAAAAATTAAGCCAAGTATTCTTAAAGTTGTAGTGTGAGGAATTTGTGTGTTTTCGAAGGTTAGGTTAGGGAAGGTGCGTTTTCTTTTTCTGCAAACGTGAAATGTTGCGCTTTTGCTTGCAGAAACTTTTGCTATTTCAGTTACGATGTTGTTAAAAATGATTTTTACTTGGTTTAAGTTTTTTAAAGCCGAAAAAATTAAAACAGCGTCTGCGTAGATGATATGGTCTACACATCGGTATGAGGTTATGAAGTTGCTTAATTGGTTAAAGGCAATAATAAATAGTGTTGTAGTTCGGGGAGATCCCTGGGGTATGCCATTATGTAGGGGGTATATGTTGGAGTTGTGGTTACTAACACTTACTACAATCTTACGATTTGAAAGAAATGACGTTATGAAATTATACATTTTATCTCCAATGTCCCATTTTTTTAATTCTTGTAATACCGTATGAGCTCCAATTCTATCGAATGTTTTCGCAAAATCTAGACTGAGGACCACATGAGTCTCTTTGATATAATTTTTTCCAAAACTTTGGCAATGCAGGGTATCAAAGAAAAGGGTCTGAAGTCTGAAATTGAAGCACTCGCTTTGTTGGGTTTAGGGATAGGAATAATTGTAGCTTTTTTCTATTCTTGAGGTACAATACCCTGCTTTAATATGTTATTGTAAAGGGTTATAAGTCTGATTTTTAAAGGGTATGGAAGATTTTTTAGGAGGGGGTAGGAAATTTTGTCTGATCCAGGGGTTTTGCCGGACATTTTGCTGATAATAGAATCGAACTCTTCTAATGTAATGGGAGATTCTATCTATTCTATAGAAGAAATTGGGAAACATATTCACGCAAAAACAGTACGCAGGACCTTGCATCGTGTTGGCTACAGTTCACGTATAGCGCGAAAAAAACCTCTCGTCAGCAAGGCTAATACAAAAAAAAAAATAAAAAAAAAAAAAGCAAAAAAAAAAAAAAAAAAAAAAAAAAGAGGATGGACTTCGTAAAAGCATAGAAAGATAAAACATCTGAGTTCTGGAGCAACGTTCTCTTTATCGATGAAAGTAAATTCAATATGTTTCAGTAAGATGGCAGAGTACGGGTCTGGAGAAAACGCAATACTGAACTTGAAAAAATTACGATAAGTACACTAAGACAAGGGGGGGGTGGAGGGATCATGGTATGGGGTTGCATGACAGCGGCGGGTGTTGGAAATCTCGTATTCTTGGAAGAAATAATGGATAAAAAAGTTTCTTTGAATATACTAAAGAATAACTTAAAAGAAAGGGCGCAGAAGCTAAACCTTTTATTTCCAACAGGACAATGACCCCAAACACACTGCTCATGACGTGCGTATGTGGATCATATACAATGCGCCTCATATTCTTCCGACTCCTCCACAGTCTCCAGACCTAAATCCCATAGAACATTTGTGGGATGAACTCGGTAGGCGTGTGAGTAAGCAAAATATTACCAGCAAATCTCAAYTAAAGGAAGTTCTTCAACAAGAATGCCAAAATATAGAGCCGAGTATGAGAAAAAAATTAGTTCACTCTATGCAAAATAGACCACCAAATATTAATTTTTTTATTATATTATAAGCTTTCTTGTTAAACAAAAGTGTGTGAATAATTTTGTAACTCACATAAATGATGTAATGTCCTATTTTTGTATGTTTTTTTAAATAGAATATTAATTTGTTAAATTATTGTTATTTTTAAATAGAAGAGATATGAATAAAGATTTCCTTAGAACAAAACTATAACCTAGTTTTTATTATTTAAAAGATACAATCGTTTTTGTGGTAAACTCAGTGATGTGTGAATAATAATGTCTGCCAGTGTATATAATATATATATATTTTCGTAATCTGGAGAACGTCACCTTTCCAGTGATACCCATTTTATCCCCGAAATCCGGGGATTCTATTCTAAATCCCAGCCAAATTCATTATCATGTGATAAGTAATGAAAAATCTTTCAGAATTCTCATTACCTTGATAAATTTCGGTGTTGGACCGACCAGGGTTATTTCTTTTTCAAACGCGGCGAAAGGCCTCCAATGAAATCGGAGAAAGACTCGTTTTAAATAAATTTTTTTTTCTAAAATTTACCCAAATTCTGATAGATTTTACACTACTTAATAGACGATAATGAATTTTGTATTGACGTCATAATCTTTCCTTTTTCTTATTTTTATTCCATTACAAGATATGGTAACAATATTTTTTTGCTTGTTTGCAAATACTTATTATACTTATTGTATAAATAAATGGATTTCAACTAAAATTTAATATGGAATTGAAGTTATTTTTGCACTACTTAATGTAAAATAAAAGGTTAGAAACGAATAGGTGTATGGTTAGTGGATGTTAAACTAAATAATACAACTAAAATTTATTATATATAAGTCAGCCGCAACTATATATATTATTTATCTGAAACCTCCTCTATCCATATACATATATACTTATTAAGCTCGAATTCGCGGGATGCGATTCTACAACTTCCGCCATATTTTTAAATGTTTGGTTTAAATAATCAAGCATTATAAATTTAATATAAGTTAACTTAACATTAAAAATAATTAAGGTTTAGCTGGGCGATTCATACCATTAGTAAACAGAAAATTGTTGTCAGCTTCAATTGTTGTTCACATTCAATGTGGTCATTATAATATTAATCGCTTACTTATCCCGTTTTAAATTTGGCTTTGATGCGGTTTGTATAATTCACACATATTTCGGCGCAGTATATTTTAGCGCTATGAATATTTTTAAGTATTTTTTACACTTTTAGTTACACTTCCATTTATCCGCCAAGAAAACGCTAAACGTTTACATATAATCGATGATATTACATTGTTTGAAATTTTTTTATATGATACACATTTTCTAGCTTCTATTCCTATATTGCTTTAACTTTATCTCCAGCATATGCCTACGCAAACGTTACATACGATTTTAAATAAACACATAAAACAGTGATAGAAACACAGAGTTTAGTACCGGCGAATTACCTTAACACAAATTAATGATATTAAGATAAAAGCCACTTAATGTGATATATATAAATAAAATTGCTAACTTTCGAAACTCTACTTCGACGAAATGTATTCGTTCTTCTAACGGCGGTGAATAATGTTAGAGAAACAGCCATACTTTAGTGAAATTTACAAGCCTTATGAGGCGACCCCACTCACATAATAATTTATATAAATAAGAAATTAAACGGAATACGGATACAAGTTAATGAAAATCATCAAATTCAATAGGTTTTTTATACAAATAAATAGATGTCCTGAATTTGTCATTTTATTAAAAACGTTGGCATAAAATGGGTATGTACGGGTAGAGAAGCTCCTCCAGATCAAGAAAATAAAAACGAATACGATTCTATTAGCATCGCGATTTGAGGGTATGGACGGAAAGATGAGGTCATCAGGATTGAAATATGTATGCTCATATACCCTCCTCAGATTTATAGTTTTCCAGATATTAGTGTTTAAAGTTCAACAATTTTACATGCAATTCACTGTTGGTTTGTTCACATGACATGACACGACAAATATCAGTGTTGTCACATATTGTGTTTTGATAAAATAATCAATGCATTTTGTGTTTAACATATATAGGGACATTGGTACAAAAGGTTTTTATTCGATTGGTATGGATTTTGTACCTTATATCATTTAATAAATAAAGATAAAAAGTAACCCTGGTCGTTCCATCTTCACGGTGTTAATAGCTCTTTAGTGTCGAGCTAATGGTGGCTTTGGGCAACGCTTCAAAAAAAAAAACCTTTGTCGGTCCAACACCGGGGTGTTTATAGTTCTTTTGTGTCCAACTACTTTCGTCAGTGGCGGACTTCGGCAGCGCTTCAAAAAAAAAAAAAAACATAACGCTAGTCGGTCACACATCGCATTGCTCATAGTTCTTTTGTGTCGAATTACTTTCTGCACTGGCGGTATTTATTATTTTTTAAATAATATATAATGGATAACCCATATTTATGAAATAAGAGTTCGTTTTGAATCATTGTCGCTTTATATCTCTAAAGATCAAACAGAAAAAAATGTCATTATTTTTTTAGGACACAAAATATGGCAGGACTATTTGTCATAAATGTAAACACACAAATATCTTGAAAGTGAGAATGTGCAAAGTAGGTTTTAAAGTATAGCTATTTTTATAACTAAGAAACACTAAGTGTAAAATTTGGATATATTTCGCGTAAAATTTAGAATAGCAATCCCGGATTTCGGGATTAAATGATTGTCACTGGAAGGTTGGTTTCCAGCTCTCAAGTAATTGCTCAAGAAAAAAAATACATTATTTCTCAAGTAATTTTGACAGCTGGTTATGCATTATGAATGAATGAATAAACAAAGAAAATAAACTTAGGAGTGTAAGCACATAAATATTTGTATTGCGATCTAAGGAATATGGATGAAGATTGGTAAGTTTTATATCTAATTTCGAAATGAACTATATTTCAAAATAATGATTTTAACTAATTGTAGGATGAATTTAATGAACACTTTGAATTGCGGTGCCATGATGGCTGTCATGGAGATGGATGCTGAATTGCAAAACAAAAAGCGTAAGAAGGCGAAATATTGGGTGAGTTCATACCTTAAACAACGGAACGAGAAGGGAAGGTTCATGTCCGATTTGAAAACTTTCGCATGCCACCAGAAGTTTTCGATGAATTTTATGAGATGGTGGAGCCACATTTACTTCCGAAACGCAACAGCAGGCCGAAAGATTTTATTCCAATTAAAGCCAAATTGGCAGTGGTACTGGAGTATGTTTTATACATTTTTGCCAAAGTGTCTTTTATAGCCGTGCTATGTTATATTCTTACAGATACCTAGCTTCGGGGGATTTGCAACGCCACTTAGCTTCTTGCTATCATATCAGCAAACAACATTTTGGCAGGAACGTGAATGACGTTTGTGAAGTATTATGTACCGTTTTGAAAAATGAAGTGCCCGATTGGACGGAACAAAATTTGCTAGAAATAGCCAATGGTTTTGACAACCAATGGAATTTTCCTAATTGTGTTGGCGCCATTGACGGAAAACACATTAATATAAAAGCAAGCTAGGCGGTGCATTGAAAATGCTTTCGGCATTTTAACCGCAAGATGGCTTTGCCTTAGAAAACTTTTATTTTTTTCGGCATGTTGCCTATTGCATAATTTCCTTACAAATAAGTGGCGCCGAACGTATACTTCGAATGTGTTTTCTGGTTTTGTAGATAGCACTGGAAATTGGATAGCAGGAGAATGGGAAGTGTTGCAACAACAGCAACGCAATCGAAATGAATCCATCGTAACCACTTACCATGGAAGAAATTCAGATTACGGCAAATATATTCGGAAAATATTAACAGACTATGTTAATAATGACAATGCTTCTTTTGTTTAAATTTATGTTATTATTCTTATACAAATAAAAAACATTAAAACTATAGTTAACAAAAACTGTTAATCATTGTTTCAGCGGCATTAGATTTATGAAAAGACACATGTCGTCGCTAGCAGATCGAGGCAGTTGATTTAACAACCAATCAAAACTGGAAAGAGCTTGTGCGTAAGGGGAGCTGAATGTGGTATTTGAGCGACTTTCCAACATTTCCTCTTGCTTCTTGAGTATGTTATCTTGCTTGATTTTTGCGGGGAGAGGTTAATCGCACCCATCGTTTCGTGGTTGTTGCGTTCTGAAATATAAAACAACACAATTGTAAAAATAAAAAAAAAAGAATATTAATATCTATATCTATCTTTAAAATTATACAATAAATTACAAATAAATAAAATTCCTATAATTAGACCTATATAAAAAATTTCTCCATATACCAATATAATATGTATATGTGTGTATGTACTCATATAGTCGTATGAGTGCTGTGAGTCGGTTGCACTTGTTAGTGACACATTAGAATCCTCGCCGATAATTATTGGCGATGCATGCGAATATTCTCCGAAAGATACTGGAGTTGTGAAGGTCCTATAAAAAAAAGCAATTGTTTGGCGAGCGCTCAAATTATGCAGACTTACTTCCGTTTGTGGGATACATTCATCAAAAATGACATTTCCTCCGCAAATCCCAATCAACGTTTTCTGAAAACGATGATGTTTCCAAAACTTCCCCACCATCGCTGCCACTTTCGTTCTTATGAGCTACCCTATGGTAGCGATAGCTTTCGTGCATACTAATCCACGCTAATTTGCACTCATCCACTAAAACATAAATTTTATTATGAACAACAAAACCCTGAATACAAAACATAAATTAACTCACCACTTTTATCAAGGGCACTGCTTATGTGGAACCAGGCTTGATTTACCGCATTCTTATTGCAATGCAATATGTTGCTAATATCCCAGATTCTGGGCCACTCCCTCACACAATTCACAAGTTGGCGCTTCTCCAACGCAGTGAAATTCAGCATGCGATTTTTGCTTTTCGATAAGACATCATTTTTTAAATTTGCATCCATTTTCTAAATTTTCAAAAAATATAAATATTTATAAATTTCACTTCCCTCGTACGCCAATGGCACTTTCGTTCACGAAACAATTGTTGATTTGATGTTTCTTCGCAAAACCAGGCATGTTCGGATTTTATTGAAAAAATGTATAAAAATTAGTACTAGATTTCTTTAGAGCTGCATACCAGCACAAGTATCGCAAGAAAGTTTCTTGACTGTTTCTTAAGCGTTTTTTTATGTAAAGTTTTTACATTTCTTGAGAGCTGGGTGGTATACCCTGGAAAGGTGACGTTCTTCAGATCACGAAAATATATAGGTTGCCGCTGACTTATAGTTTTAAAGATATTTGCATTTACAATTAAAAAATTTACAACTTTTAAATTGATAATTTGTATATTGTGAATAAATTTTTCGCTTATATTATGCACTTTTCACTTAATAACACTTCACTGTAACGGTTTTGTATGTTATTTTTTTTAAATATTTATTGCAAATAAAGCTTTATTTTAATTATTTTGTTTCAGTTAAACTCACTGCATTTGCACAACAAGAATAGGGTTGCCTACTAGCAAATAAATGGTATTGCCATATCTGCCTAGTTGTCAACAAAAGAAAATAAGCAAAAACAAAACAAAACAAAAAATAGATAAATGGAAAGCGCCAAAAATCTTTAGCAATTTTTTATAAAAGAAAAAAAGTTGCAGAAAGGAGTTCTACGCGAAAGAACTCTGAACACCCCGGTGTTGGATTGACCAGGGTAGTTTTGTTTTCAGCGCGGCGAGTTCTTTCAGCAACTTTTTTCTTTTATAAAAAATTGCTAAAGATTTTGGCGCTTTCCATTTATCTATTTTTTGTTTTGTTTTGTTTGTGCTTATTTTCTTTTGTTGTCAACTAGGCAGATATGGCAATACCATTTAGTYGCTAGTAGGCAACCCTATTCTTGTTTTCCATTTATGCATTTTTTAGCTATCATTTTACATATTACGAAGTTAAATTGTTGCGGAAGGTAAGTTTGAAATAGATTTTATATTTTATATTTAAATTGTATAGACTTGTTACAGTTTTTTTTGTTAAAAATGAATACAGAATATGCGCCAATTCAAAATAGTCATTCTCAGTAAATTGCGCGAATCAGCTGATCATCTATCACTAGATGCACTGAGGGCTCTCTTGGTCTTGCATATTTCGGTATAGGACTTCGCATTTTGTGTCATCGTGAAATCTTGCAACAGCAAGAGAATCCCCTATTGTGGAATAACGGGCATTACTTTTAAAAACTTTTGAACTTTAAATACAAATATCTCGAAATATAAAAGTCTGTATGTGTCCCGGTATATTTTCAAAGTAGCGTAAAAATAAGTGGTTAAATGGTTTAAATTAGACCCGTTTCGTAGCTTATACTATTCTCACGGTATATTTTCAAAGATACGTAGCGTAAAAAATAAGTGGTTAAAATGGTTTAAATTAGACCCGTTTCGTAGCTTATACTATTCTCACGTTATTTGTTTGCATTCGTGGCATTTTAAGTAGTAAACACGTGTTCATTTGCCAAAATAGTGCGAATAATTGGACGCCTATGTCATAATTCGCAGTGAATTTTGTGATCATTGTACATATGTTTACTGTTTCTAAATCGGCTGAAACCTTAATAAATAGTAGTATTCTTGTTGGGCTGAAATTGTCCCAGTCAGGATCCGACTCACATATTTGTTGGCAACCTTTTATATCAATTAATAATTTTAAAACTAACTATGTCAAAACCAATAGATCGCAAAACCATTGCTAATATCTTGCAGTCTTTTGATGAAGGTGAAGACTTTTCGGGCGTTAGTAGTGATGAATATAACCTACAGATCGTGAAGAGTCTACTACTGAAAGCAGTGATGCTTAGCAAATTGATCATCAAGACGAGGGTTTAGAAGATAACTTACAAGAGGTAAACTCTGCATGCAGTTTTCAGAATATCTGAATTATTTGGTCTGCACACAATGTGAATTTTGTTCCCAGAAAAATCGCAGGCCATTACAAATTGGAGCGGAAGTCTACCATGTGGTAGAAAAAAGTTTGTTATAGACTATTTATGATGACTGTTGGAAATTGCTGGATAATCAGTTCTCAACTGGGACAAAGAAAAAACCCAGTTTTGGCTGAAAACATGATTGAAGAGGGAAAGAAGAAGGCATCTTATCGTCGCAGTGGTACATCTGGTAGAAAAATAAAAATAGTCGCTGGAGACCTTCCGGTACAAATTCGCAATCAGAGGCGTGCTACTAGTTGCGCAGAACAAAAGAAGGAGAGGCGTACAAAAATAATATGCGAAGATTACTTTCTGCATTAATTGTTTCGCACCTTATCAGAAATAAATACTAATTTTCAAATATGTTCATTCATTTCAATTTTATTTTATTTTATAGTTTAATATGGGATGTGTATTTCACTTGTGTTTACCGAAAATGTTCATTGTATTCCAAATATAACTAGCTTTCATATAAAAGACAGTTGAAATAACACGTAAGCCTTAGGAGCATTAAGTACTGATCGGGATAAATATGTCCCATCAAAAAATATTGACGGGAAATATTTGTCCCAAGCCCTCCCTCCGTCTCTGATTCATTGAACTCGTTTTTTAACGGAAAATACGCTTTTACTTTACGGCTTTTCGGATCGAAAGGGTTAATCCTGAGGACCTTCTCTATCCATCCATACCATCAAATCGCGGCGCTAAAAGAATCGTAATATTGCCAAAATATATATGTATATGTAGAAGCAAAAGGTGGTGGCACCGGAGATGATGGTGCATCTTCTTCTTCAATTATTTCCTTATTCGCCATAGCACGTCGCCTGTCAACTTCTTTCGTCCGTGTTCTCAAAACAAGTGACACGCAAGCCATTGCGCTCACTACCCCACTTGTCTATTTTTTCACTGCACGGTTATTTCAATATAATTATCAAATATTATTTCAACACAACCATTTATTGCATCAGCCAACGTAGAACAGGTGCCATGCTCACTTGAGTTCACCTCAAATGATGCTCTTTCGGTAATATAGAATTTTCTTTATTCACCTAACGTGATTTTCGTTTCGTTCTCTTGTCAAACCACTTCTCATGTTTTTTCTTCGTACTCTCCTTCAACATTTCTTCATCACACACTGCAACGCTCACACGCACACCGGTCCCTCTGGACCCACATAGTACCCGTCATGCAGTTACTGCGCAGATCACAACATGACATGTAAATGATTCAATTCGAGTCTATTCGAGTGCTTCACTCGGCGATCTCTCGCATTCATCAGCAACTCATCAGGTATCGCTCGCAACTGCTCGTGGGTATACTTATATGTTCGTTTATTTGAAAGAGATTTCAACATATGTCGGTCACCATCAAGTTTCTCTATAATGACAAAAGGTCCTTTAAACACTAGCTCCAATTT